GAGCGCGTGACGTTCCCACACCGACAATCTATGGACGTCCTGGGGTCTCCGGGGTGGGTTTCTTGTGGAAGGTTTCTTGTGGTCGGACATTCACTGCGTGGGGGACAGGCTCAGAGAGTGAGCGCATCGGTCCCCCCTGGTCCCTTCATCGCCCATCTAGGGGATCGAGGATCCAGTCTGCGGCGCGTGCAACCCAGATCTCCGACGGCATGTTTTTGTTCAATTCGGGCGGTTTCCTTCGATTTCGGTTTCTGGGCCCTCCGCGACCATCAGAACCTGATCTGGGGCGACAGGACCCCAGTAAAGCACCCTAGCAACAGCCAAGGTGAAGAAGCGGGTCGAGGATTAGGAGGTCGGCTAGGAAGAACGCGCACTCCTGCAATAGGGTGTTCGCTCTGAGTTCAGAAGCATACGCGGGAATGCGGTAGTAAAGCTCTGGCAACGCACAGAGCCAGAAGTGCGGTAGGATGTTGTTTTGCTTCAGAAGCGTGCGCGGGAGTGGACTTCAGGCAATGCAAAGAGCCGGACGTGCGGTAGGGCTTTGCTTTTGTTTGGTACAAGAGTCGCACGCGGGAAGGGGGTTCTGGCAACACGAAGAGCAGGAAGAGCACGGCGAGTTGGCTACGCGCACCGCAGTCTACGTTTTAAGAGGGATCGTGGCCGCCCAGGCCAACGCTGCAGCTGGCACTGAGGCGAGGGCACGGCCCCCGAGCAGATCGAGGCGAGAGCCCGCTTCCTGAAGGCGTGGGGAGGATGTTGCAGGCGAGCCCGGGGCCGGGACGGGGGGTGAGAGCGCGGCGACGTGCGGCGCCAGGGCCGCGACAGGGGCGAGGGCACGGCCGCGTGCGCCCGAGCACACCTGTTACCCCGGGTCGCGCACGGCTTACAAGTCGGGGCAGGGGTGAGAGAGCACGGCCATGTGCACGCGAGTCGATGTGTCAATGGATCGCGCATGCTGTACGAGCCGGGACCCTGAACCTGATTAGAAATATGTGTTAGAGTTTTTTACCAGGGATCGTTGCCGTCCAGATCAAACACGTTGCCAGCAGATTGTCTTGCATGAGAAACAAAGAATCAAAGCCGTTCGGACCAAACATGTAGCCGTCTTTGAGACGAGGGCACCGTTCCCGAATAAATTTAGAAGGCCTCAGGCGAAGCGGCGAAACGGTTGTTGCATCGGCTGCCTGAGTGGCTGTCGGACCAGGCGCGTCTCGGGTTCCCCGTCCCCCACGGTGGGACTCTTCAGCTGTCCTTTCTTACATCCTTTGGATCCCTCTCGCGAAACGTTAGTAGGGAAATACTCCTGGGGAAGGCGGCGGGCGATTCGAGGCCGCGCATGGACAGCAACAGACAAGCAAGCAACCCTACTAGCAGCAAAGGTGAAGAGGCGGGTCGAGGAGTAGAAGGTCGGCTAACTAAACCGTGCATGCCCAGGTGAACAGCCGCCTGGACATGGGGTGAGAGCACGGCCATGTGCTTTCGAATTTGCTTGTTATAAGGGATCGTGGCCGCACCAATAATGTAACTGGCATCTATGCGAGAGCGCGAATCCTGAATGAATAGGAGGTCTGAGGCGAAACGGCTGCTGTACTGGACGAGAGTCGGGCGTTCTCGGGCTCCCCCTCCCCCGCGTGAGATTATATTATGCGGTCTTTGTCTACCTCCTGTAGAACCCTTTAGGGACACGCTACTGGGGAAGCACATCGTCGGCTGTGTGGGAAAGGAGCGTGGCGAGGGGAAGGGGCCTTCTGAGAGGGCAGCGGGCTTTTGAGAAGCCCTTTGGCCTCTCCCGAGGAACTCTCTTGAGACGCCTCGGAGCCCTTCTGATAACCCCAGCTGCCTTCTGAGAGAGCCCGAGGCACACATTGGCCTTCGAGAAAGCCAATGTTGCTTCAATGTTGTTTTGTTTCGGTTCGGTGCGTTTTGGCGTGTGCGTGCCGTCCGGAGAGGTGTGGAGACCTCCAGGAGAAGTCCAGAGACCCCCAGAGACTTCAGGGGGAGGGGGATCGTTGCAATCTTCGAGGACCAGGAAAACATGCATCAAGGCGCGTGGATCAGCAAGGGTACCAGCTCCATATGACATCGATGCTCTCTCCGTCGCCAGCTCAGGTGGCACTGGCGCCACACTTCGGAAAGTACGCACTCTCTTCGATCCGTGGGCCTGGCGCCCGGGCGCCAAACCCACGCATTCATAATCCATGTCAGCGCGTGCCCGAGTAATATCAGGAGGGGAAAAAACACACAGACACAATTAATCGGCGATTCCCAAAAAATATGGGAAAATATGGGAAGTGGGGGGGAAGACAGAAACCCAGAAAATATGGGAAAATATGGAGGATATTTTTATTTGTGTGTATTTATTTGTGTGTTCCAGTTCCCCTTCATAATACATATATATATATATATATAGATATAATTCCGTCCCAAGTCCCCCCAGAAGTTTCTACAGGCGCTCCTCCTTGCTGCGGGGGGAAGCACGCACTTCAAGGGCGAGAGCGCCTCTCGGGCTCGCCGTCCAGGCGAGAGCCCCGCTTTTCGAAGAGAGGAGCTGCCTCCTCCTCCTCCTCCTCCTCCTCCTCCTCCTCCTCCTCCTCCTCCCCTCCTCCTCCTCCTCCTCCTCCTCCTCCTCCTCCTCCTCCTCCTCCTCCTTCCTATAGGGAGGCCTGAGCCGCCAGAGAGTTCACAGAATGGTCCCGCGGGAGCCCCGGTTCGAAAATGGGGCGCCCTCCGTCTGGGCAGGCCGGAGGGCCTCGCGGATCACTTTGGAGAGGTGATTTGCGAGGCTCTCCGGCCCTTGCTTCCTGCAGACTCGACGGCGGTTCATGCACTGCCGTGCAGAGAAGCCGAGACAGGCCAGCGGCCGGCGGGGTGGCAGAGTGGGAGTAGATACTGGTAGGAATGAGAAGTGGGGAAGAGAAGGACCAGGAGAGGGATGGCGAGGACGAGGCGAAAGACGACGAGGAGGACGACGACGAGGATATGGAGGAGGAGAAGGAGGAGGACGAGGAGAAGGCGGAGGAGGAGGAAGCAGGGCAGCCAAGGCCTGCGTCGAAGGTTCTGGCCCATCGTGCCTCGCGAAGCCGAGGGACTACCATGGGTCGGCGGTGGCCTCGGGCAACAGAGCAGCCTCCTGAGCGCCCCGCAGCGTGCTCAGCATGCGTGGGAGTGCTCTCTGCCGCGCCTGCTGCTGGGCCTGGCGCCGAGGGCGACCTGGAGCCTGCACCGGTGTCTTGAGGTGCGCGGCGCGGATTCGGCGAGCCGAACAAAAAAATTGGACGGGCCGGCGGGATTTGGCTATGTAGAATACTTAGCCTCCCCCTCCTCCCTTCATCGAAGATCGGGGGTGGACCGAACCCCCCCCTGACACGTCGAGTAGTGAATTGTCCGGTTTAGGTTCTCGAGAGGGCACCGCGGCCGTCATTTTCCGGGCTTGCGCCCGCCAGGTTTGGGCCCGAGGTCGTTTTCACTAAACCACTTTTTACTACAGGGGGCTCTGTCCATCCCCGAGAAATAGGAAACAACGCCATAAACATAAGCTTTTGGCTCTCCGCGCGGGTTTCTTGGATCCGCGCTGGGCCCCCCCTGGCGGTGCCTCCGGCGCCGCCCTTGGCGCGCTCCGCGCGCCAGGGAGGGGGGCCTAGCGCAGATCCAAGAAATCCGCGCGGACCGTCGAACATTTATGGTTATGGCAGTTTGTTGTTTTGTTGTTGTTGTTTCTTCTTCTTCTTCTTCTCGTTCTACTTCAGGGGGCAAGGGAGAAGGGGGGAGGGGAGAGAGGGGGTGGGATTTGGCCTAAAGAACGCAGTCCGCGGGGTGCGTGGAAGAGTATGATGTGGATGGGAGGGGAGGCAGGAAGCAAGAGAGGGGGAGGAAGGAGGTTCAGGGGATGGAGGGATGAGGCTCGAGGATTGAGGAGGGTACGAGACGATGACGACGACGATAGTTCTGATGCTGGTGGTGGTTACACTGATGGTGGTGTGGTGGTGACGACGATGATGTAGATGTTGGCGTTGATGACCTTGATAGTTATGATGATGCTGGAGATGTAGTTGAACATGTTGACTATGATGATGATGCTGTTGCTGGTGATGGTGACGAAATGTGATTCTGATGGTCGCGAAAAGAGCATTGGCGGAGGGCGCAACTGATCTCCTGAGTGCATCGATCATCTTCTGAGGTGTTGTGGGATATGGCAGGTTATTTGCACACGGTTGCGGTCGAGGCTGTCCGTTTGAGATTTGTGATTGGAGTGTTGCGGCGCTCCTACTTCGAACCGTGGCCATACCTTCACTCCCGTACCTCGCGTGTAGGTGTCGTCCGCCTGATCTGCCGCGCTTCCCACGCGACCGTCCTTGTCGATTCGACTCCAGTGTACGGCAGGTTCGTGCCGTGTCGACGTGGCGGCGACCCCAGCGCGGGCGTTCAAGCTTGGGCGCCGCCAGTGGTCCAGGATCGGCTGATATCGAAAGCTCATGCGCGATTAGATTGCCGCGATCATTCAAAGTTGAACGATCCACGCGGTGTCAAAAAACCATTGCGCACGTCGTCACGACAAATCAGCCGTACTGCGTATTCAAATGCGGGGCCGTGGTGGGTATCATGACCAGGGCCATGATATTTCCCCGGATCATGGCCCCTCTTCTTTTTCTTCCTCTATGTTTCATATTTGTTTTGTTTTCAGTACTATTATTAGTCGTCGTCTTATTGTTTTTCTTCTTCTTCTTCTTCTTCCTATTCCTCTTCTTATTATTCTGATTATCATGTGTCTTCTTCTTCTGTTAAAGCGTCCCCCTTGGCCGCGCGAGTGCCTCGGGCTATGATTTGCGACCCCCCTCTTGGACGCCCCTCTCTTGGACGTCCCCGATCTCCTCCCCCATCTTTTGGACGCCCCCACCCCTCTCTTGGACGTCCCCGATCTCTCACCCCCTCTCTTGGACTTCCCCGATCTCCTCCCCGATCTCCTCCCCCTCTCTTGGACGTCCCCCCCCCCCGCCTGAGAGGAGTCGGCCCTCCTGCTGACGTGCTGCGGCAACGTCGGGGGCTACGCCAGCTCGGCCGCGGAGCCCCGCCTCTGCCTCTCTGGCGCCTTCTCCGCTCCACTCCACGAGGAGCGGGGGGGGGGAGGAACGGAGGAAGGGGGAGGGGAGGACGCAGGAGGAGGAGGAGGAGGAGGAGGAGGAGGAGGAGGAGGAGGAGGAGGAGGAGGAGGAGGGGGAGGGGGGGGGAGGGGGGGGGGGGGGAGGAGGGAGGAGGAGAGGGAGGAGGAGGGGGAGGGGGAGGGGGAGGGAGGAGGAGGAGGATTCTTTTTGATGTTCTAGGCGCTACCCAGACCCCCCTCGCGTCGCGCACAAAAACACGACGGGAGGTTTTCGGTGATTTTCGGCTTCTTGGTGCCCTTACCAGGCCCTGGGACCGCAAAACAAATGGCCCAGGATGGAAAACTGGTCCCCAGGAAGGGGTCCAGACCTCTGGGGGTCCACGCTGTGAAACATTATGACGTCGGGGATGTGGGCGCAGTCTGCGTAGCAGAACCACTTATAGGAGGGTGCACTCCTGACGGGGCTTGTTCCTTCGGACCCTGGATAGATCAGCCTTGAGAGCTGCGCGGCAGTCGTGTCTCGATAACTGGGGTGCTTGTCCTGGCGAGTGCACGCCGCCAGGTTCTTTTGCCCTCTCTTCTCAGGCATACACGTCCTGGGGAGCAGACGCGTGTCGGTCGAGGCCGTCTTGCCACAGACTGGACAAGCATGCAGGGAAACATGAGGCCAGGAGGAAAGGGAGGCAGAAACTTCGGCTTAGCTTGTGGCGCCGGTGGTTCTGGCCCACCACACTTCGGCGCGACACGCTAATCACGTCCCTGCAGCGTCAACGTCCGGAGTCATTCGAAGCCTCCCGCCCCGCGAATCGGAGCGACGCGCTATCCGCTTGCAGGGCACAGCGTGTCGCCGGGGCCGCCGCAGCGGTATCCTGCAAGTCTACGTGGCATAACTCCTCACCGCAAAACTCCAGGGGAGCGCAAGTGCACTCGGCGGGCCTCGTTCCTTCGGACCCTGGAGAGGTCAGCCTCGAGAGCCGCGCAGCAGACGGGCCTCGACAGCGGGGTGCTTGCCCTGGCGTGTGCGCGCCGCCAGGCTCTCGTGTCCTCTCCTCGAAGGCGCACGCGTCCCGGTGAGCAGACGCGGGTCCGTCGAGGCCGTCTCGCCACAGCCTGAACACTCCGTGCAGCGAACATCGAGGCCAGGAGGAGAGGGCGGATACGATACCTTCTCGTGCACCGAGTCTGGTCGGCTGGCGGATGCCCCACGGGAGGTTCTGATACCGAATGGGGCCGCAGAGCTCTTGGACACTGCGCGAAGCACAGATTCGTCGAAGGCTGTTTCCCAGAGTTCTTATAGCAAGATCTTTCACCGCTTGTGTCCACTTCACCCATGGAGGGGGGTCCTGAGGCGGCCCAGAGGAGGCGCCAGTGAGGAGGGGGCGGAGGACGACGACGCAGGAGGACAAGGATGGGGTGGCAAGAGGGGATGCTGGAGGACGCGCTGACGAGGCCGGGAGGAGACGGTCAAGAAGAGGAGGAGGAGGAGGAGGAGGAGGAGGCGGCGGAGGAGGAACGTGCCCTCTCATGCCCTCGCCGAGCCGTGTTTCGTGCTCATCGACCTTTCGTGCTCGTCGACCTCGAGCGCGCGCCGTAGCACAGCCCGCAGGATGCCGCCATGGCCTCCCTGCAGGCCGCCGCCCAGCAGAAGACGGGCAAGCGGCCTGGCACCGCCAACGGCCGCCCGGGCCTGGAAGGCGCCCCGGGTCGCCAGCAGATCGCCGTCATCCTCGCCGTCGTCGACACACGCCGCGGCCGCCGTCGGCAACAACGTCGACGTCAGCGTCGCCGTCGTTGTCGTCGTCGACGCCGTTGTCGTTATCGTCGCTGTCGTCGCCGTGGTTGTCGCCGTCACCGTCGTTGTCGCCGCCGCCGTCGCCGGCAACGTCGTGGTCGCCGTGTTCGTCGCCGCTGGCGACCGCCGGCGCGGTCGCCGTCGTTGTTGCCGTTGTCTTCGTCGTCGTCGCCGTCATCCTCGCCGTCGTAGAGGCAGCATCAGTTTGCCGTCGAGGGGCCTCTTCGTTGCTACGGCTGGACGCAGCTCGTAATACAAGTGCGAGTGGACCCCAGGAGGGGTCCGGGGACCGATTTTGAGCTGCCGTTGTCTCAATTCGCCCTCCGAATCGCCGTCGCCGACAAGGTCGTCGTTGCGGTCGCCGTCGCAGTTGCCGTCGCCACCGCCGTCGACGTCGTCAACGTCGTCGTCGATGTCGTCGCCGCCGCCGTCCCCGTCCTGGTGCTCTGTCGTCCAATCCGGCGGGGTCGTGATGGCGGTGGTTTCGCAGTCGTCGCAGAGGGGGGACAACGGAGGAGGAGGGATAGGGAGCGGAGGAGGATGAGGAGGAGGAGGAGGAGAAGGAGGAGAAGGGGAGGAATGACAGGGAGGAGAACGAGTGGAGGAGGAAGAGGAGGAGGAGGAGGAGGAGGAGGAGAAGGAGGAGGAGGAGGAGTAGGAGGAGGAGGAGGGGAGCGATGGCGGGGAAGAGAACAAGTGGAGGAGGAGGAAGATGAGGAGGAATGCCAAGGCCTGGGGCTGCGCACACGGTAGCCCCGGATGCCCTCAGGGAGCTCCCCCAAGCGTAGTCTGGGACTGGAGGCGGCGCGGGGTGTCGAGGCCGCCCTGGCCGGGCACTGACTCGGGGGGCCGTCGGCTTGCAGCCCCCGAGCCTTGTCGAGGAGAGGGGGGGGGGGCTCAGAGGATCCAGGCCCCCTGGATGGTGTCGGAGCAGATGGGGTCGGAGGATCGCGCCGCAGCGCCGATGTATCGGCGATGCGGCTCGATGCGGAGCCCGATTTTCTTCACACCAGCGTCGCCGATGCACTGCCGACGTCGCCGATGCATCGGCGGTGCATCGTCACGATCCTCCGACCCCAGCTACTCGGACCCCATCTGGGAAGCATCGAAAGGCGGAAGAGATACCGATGCCACTGCTCGTCTCAGAAGGCACCCTATGATGGGTCCCAGGAACACGGTCCTGGTCGAATTCTTGGCGTGTAGTTGTGAATGTTCCTATACACGCTCAGCGCTCCTGCACTTAGCGTGCATTCTGCGTGGTTGGTGCTTAGCGTATATCGGAGGGCTGTTTCACCCGACCCTATTTGGCGTATACGCCCTTGCGATGCTTAGCGTGTCAACGGCTTCGGTTTCGCAGGGCCCGAAATCACATACACGCTAAGAGTAGAACCATGACCATGGCCGTAGCTGTACTGGTATCATGCTGTCTCCCTGGAGATGGAGGCCTGGGTGCTTTGATCTGTCTCTCCGGAGACCGCCGAGCAGGGGATCGCTGCTTCGGGACGGAGGAGGAGGAGGAGGAGGAGGAGGAGGAGGAGGAGGAGCAGGAGCAGGAGGAGGAGGAGGAGGAGGAGGGGAGGAGGAGGAGGAGGAGGGGGAGGGGGAGGGGGAGGGGGAGGGGGAGGGATGATGATGATGATGATGATGATGATGTGATGATGATGATGATGATGATGATGATGATGATGATGATGATGATGATGATGATGATGATGATGATGATGATGATGATGATGAGATGATGAGGAGGAGGCGGAGGAGGAGGGGAGGAGGAGGAGGAGGAGGAGGAGGAGGAGGAGGAGGAGGAGGAGGAGGCAGAGGAGGACGAGGAGGAGGAGGCGAGGAGGAGGAGGAGGAGGAGGAGGAGGAGGAGGAGGAGGAGGAGGTGGAGGAGGGAAGGGAGGAGGAGGAGGAGGGAGAGGAGGAGGAGGAGGGAGGAGGGGGAGGAGGAGGGAGGAGGAGGAGGAGGAGGAGGGAGGAGGAGGAGGAGGAGGAGGAAGGGGGGAGGAGGGAGGAGAAGGAGGAGGAGGAGGAGGAGGAGGAGGGAGGAGGAGGAGGGAGGAGGAGGGAGGAGGAAGGAGGAGGAGGAGGAGGAGGAGGAGGAGGAGGAGGAGGAGGAGGAGCGTTGTGTGCTCTGATCTGTCGTGCAGGGGAGGCGTCGCCGAGCCTGGGCGCCCCGAGCGAGAGAGAAGCGTGGGCGAACGGGGTATGAAGCGCAGCAGCCTCCGTGCGGTGGGGGAAGAGGCTCCTTCGCCTCCTCCCCCTCTTCTCTCCCTCCTCCCTCCTCCGCCTCCTTCCTTCTTGTCCTCCCCCTCCCGCCTCCAGCCCCATCCCTCCTCCGCTTCCTTCCTCCGTCTTCCCCCCACTCCCTCTTCCTCCTCCTCCTCCGTCCTGTCTCCTCCTCCGCCCTGTCTCCTGTTTCCTTCTTCTCCTTCTCCTTCTCCCTCCTCTTCCCTGCTGCTGCTGCCCCTCCTCCCTCGGGCCTCCCTTCGTCCCTCCTCTCGCGGAGCCCCTGCGCTTCCTCCCGGACGAGCCACGACGGCGCCAAGCCGTTGAGGCGCAGAGGATCACATGCGAGGAGAGAGGGAGGGAGAAGGAGAAGCGCGGGAGAGGAAGGAGGATGCACATTGGGAGGGGGAGGGAGAGAGAGTAAGAGAGAGAGAGAGCTAGAGACAGAGAGAGAGAGAGAAAGAGAGAGAGAGAGAGAGCGAGACAACAACATAATAAGAATAGCAAGACAGAAAGATAGGTAGAGAGAGCGAGAGAACGAGGTGGATGATGGCACAATGGTTATGAGTTCGAGATCATGACGCGTGTGTTGATGATCATGTTGTTCGTGATGATGAGGATGATGATGTGTATGACTATGCTACTGATGATGCTGCTGATGTTGATCATGCTTATGATCATGATGATCAGGATGAGGATGCGGACGATGATGATGATGCTGATGACACTGATGTTGATCATGATGCTGATGATGATGATGACGGCGACGCCGACGAGGATGGTGTTGACGACGAATGAATATGATGACGACGACGACACTGAGGATACTAGATATAATATGGATGCTGGTGATGATGACGACGAGGACGATGATGCTGATGATGATGATGATGATGATGCTGATGATGATGATGATGATGATAGGTGATCACGACGACGACGATGACGATGATGGCGATGATGAGGACTATGCTGATGATACCATTGATGATAACGATGGCGATGGTGATGACGATGATGATGATGCTGATGATAATGATGATGATGATCATGGTGATGGTGATGGTGACGGTGGTGATAATGATGATGGTGATGATGCTGGTGATGATGATGATAATGATGATGATGATGATGAAGAAGAAGTTTATGCTTATGATGATGATGCTGATGCTGATGCTGCTGCTGATGATGATGGTGGTGGTGACGCTGATGATGCTGATGATGATGATGATGATGATGATGATGATGATGATGACGGTGGTGTCTGTGATGCTGAGGGGGAAGAGGAAGCCGGATACATGGACCTCTTCGTGCCTGCCCGCTTCTGCTTTCGCGCCCGCGTGCGTGCACTGGGCAGCCTCCTCTCCACATCCGCCGCCTCCTCCTCCCCCCCCCCCCTCATCCTCCTCTTCTGCCCTCTCATACTTCTTGCGACGCGGAAGTAGGGGCACTTTTCTCCGAGCAGCGGATGCCATCTCGGAACGGGGATCGCACAGAGGAGTGGGACCACCGTTGCCGTTGGCCTCGAGGAGGAGGCGCTCCCCCTTCCCGGTGCCACCGAGGAAGCAGAGGAGGAGGGCGGAATGGGAAGGAGGGGGTGGGAGGAGGACCAGGAGGATTGTTTTTTTAGGCAAAGCGAGGAGGGGCAGGAGGAGGAGGAGGAGGAGGAGGTGTAGGATGAGAGGGAGGAGGCCCATAAGAAAGCGGAGGACGAGGAGGAGGAGGAGGAGGAGGAGGAGGAGGAAGAGAACGCCATTCCTAGTAAATCAATGCCGCGAATCACCGTTACCGTTGCGTCTTGACGATCGCGAGTCTTGCCAGAACACCATGCCTGGGACTTCAACACCGCGAATCAACGTGACTTTGCGCCACTGCATTCCGACATGATGCCAAACACAAGGTCTTGGACGCTCACCATGAGAATCCTTGAAACGCATGGCATCTCTTAAGGAGAATGTACTCGGCGCTAAGGCGTGAGCCACGTTGTGAAAAGGAGCCCGCTTCCATCCGTGAAATTCTTGCAAACTTTCAATACGAATGTTCGCGGCGCTGGAACGAGAGTCATATTTTGAGAACGGGCCGCCCTTCATCCGTGAAGCTCTCGCAAACTTTTATAACTCGAATGTGCGTGACGCTGAGGCGAGAGTCACATTTTGAGGACGCGCCACCCTCCACGTGTGAAATTCTGCAAACTTTCAATACGAATGTGCGCGGCTCTGGGGCGAGAGTCGCATATTGAAATCGGGCCGCCCTTCATCTGCGAAGCTCTTGGAAATTTATAAGACGAATTTGCGCGGCGTTGGGGCGAGAGCCACATTTTGAAAACGAACCGCCATCCATCCGCGAAGCTCTTGCAAACATTTGAGCTGCACGATCATCAATGGTGAGGAAGTCTCAGGCGAAACGCCTGGCCCGCCCTTTCGACCGGCCTCGGGGTGCGACAGGGAGGAGTTACCTATGAGGTGGGGAAGGAGGAGGACTGTTTGGTGTCGGCCTACCCCCGACAAAACAAACAGCGGCCCCGAGCCATGGTGGTTACGAGCACCACCTACGGGGGCGACTCGCCAGCGCACGCTGGCGCCGGCGGCGCCGCCAGCGAAGGCTCCGAGGAGGAGCTGCACCAGCAGGCCTCGAGCAAGAACTGGAAGGAGCAAGATCTCCGACTGCACCTCCCTCCTCCCCGCCTTTCCCGTCCATCCTCCTCTCCCCCCCTCCTCCCCCTGGCCTCCCCCAACTCCCTCGGAGGGGGATGGGGGGAAGGAAAGAAGGAAGGCGGAGGAGGGGGGGAGGGGCCCCCCCCTCCGCCTTCCTCACCCCCCTTCTCTTCCCCTCCATACCATCCTCCCTCTCCTCTCCTCGGCACGACACGCTAACCACTGCCCGGTCCCCAGGAGTCCACTTCCCGAGCTCGTTCCAGACTCTCGCCCCTCGGAGCAGGGCGACACGCTGTCCCCTCGCAGAGCCTGGCGTGTCGCCAGGGCCGCCGCCGCGACAAGCTCAGAAAGCGTTCCCGACCCTACTCTTCCTCGTCCTTGCTCCACCTCGCTCCTCTCCCTCCCATGGGCGCCCCCCAATCCCCCGGGGCGGCACTCCGTCCCTTCTTCACCTTCTCCTTCACGGCACCGGAGGCTCCCACATGGGACCAGCACGCCCTGAGGGTTCCCCTTTCCGCACGCGCGCCAGGGAGGAGCTGGAGAGGGGACGAGGGAGGCTGTTGGAGGACAAGGGAGAAGGAGTATGAGGAGGAGGAGGAGGAGGAGGAGGAGGAGGAGGAGGAGGAGGAGGAGGAGGAGGTGGAGGGGGAGGAGGAGGAGGACCAGGATGAGGACGATGTCGAGGAGGAAGGTCCGCTGGTCACACGAGGGCGCCTGTTGTGAAGGATTCCTCCGCCACTTGGAGGACCCCCATTTTGAGAAGCACGCGCTCTCCATCCGTTCAAGCCTTGCAGGATGTCGAAATCGTGGACGTATGCTCTGGGGAAGTCGTACTCGAGAGCCCCTCCAGGAGGCCCAGGGATAGCATCATTGGGGGAAGAACATGCCCTCCATCCGTCTGAGCGTTGCAGGATGTCAAGGTCGTGGACGTATGCTTCGCAGAAGACCTACGCGACAGCCCCGTTTCGAAAGACGAGCCGCTCTCAATCCGTGCTAACTGCTGTGCGATATGGAACGCCGGATCGCAGAGGTCGAGGAATGGAATGTAGCGGACTGGCTAGTGGTCACTAGGACGGTGAAACCAAAGCAGACTGACTACAGTGAAGAGTCTGGCGCCTCGTCTTCACACGCGAAGGCCAATCTCTGTCGGGGCTGACATTGCGTCGTGCTGCTCGGCTCCCTAACTCGATGACTCAATCGAGGCCGCATTCAAGCAAGCCAAAGCATTTCAGCACTGGCTGCTTCTACTGCGCGGCTGTCTGGGGCGCAGCGGAAGGGGTGGCCATCTTAAGCTCCCTCGCTGCTTGCACCCGGCCCTCTGGGACCACCGAAGGCTAGTCCCACAGTGGTCATAATCGTAATTCTTGGTCCCGCGGGATTCCCGTTGGGGCGCACAGGTGCAAAACAGGCTGACCTGAGAGGCGTCGCGGGAACTGGCCGTCAGTCAAAAGGCGCAGTTGCTCACGATATTTCGCTCCAGCTCTGGCGCCCTTACAACTGCCACTCATCTTGGCGCTGGGCGCCTTGCCAGAAAGAAAACCTCCACAGAAGAAGCAACGTACTAGAACATGGTCGGGTTTCTCCTGAACGCACGAGCTAAGCAGCGAATGTTCCCCTAACCGCGAGCCCCGGATAATAAATCATACCCCCCGTCCCCCCTGAGACTTGATTCTCCCCGGCCAAGACAAAAATGACCGGGGGAGATGGGCGGCAAGGCCGAACTTTCTGTGCGCAGGGGAAAGTTACGAATCGAAGTTGCTAGCTCCTTATGTTGAGTGACAACATCATCAAAACGTATGGTATGGCAACGTAAGTAGCAACATCATCAATGTGGCATGCCGCCGAAGGACCCGACCGCGCACGAACCCATGCACGAGACCTTCGAGGAGGCTCTCACGGCAGCCCAGGCGTGCACCAAGTTCTTGCCCTTCAAAGACGGCTCCAAGGGTTGCCGAGGCTGCATGGGCGAGTACTTCGAGATTGTTCGCGAGAGATGTTTCCTGGCGAGAAGCGCCACGGATTGGAATAGCGCGGGCAAGCTGAGGCCTCTCACGAGAAAGGCTGCGGGAAACATCCTCGTCGTCGTCATCGTCATCGTCGTCGACGTCGTCGTCGTCGTGCGACGACGACGACGATGACATCCTCTTTTCTCGTCACGCATCCCTCGTGCGACTTGCGTGGATAAAGAATTTGTTATCCCCCCGAGACCCCTAACTTCATCATTCCCCGGGCGTTCTTCTCAGAGGCAGATGGGCCATCTTGCAGTAACAAGTCCAAGAATGATACCATGACAGCTCGAGCTCACAAGCGCCCCCTCGATTCACATTCCTGGGCGGGCATTGGTCGAGAGATTGGGCACTGGTCGCCACTCTCCGCTCGTATCTCTGGTTGGGACTCCCCTCCTGGGGCCGCTGCGCCTGCGCCAGCAGCAACTGCAGAACGATGCAAAACGTCGTCGTAGTCCCGGCGCTGACGCTCTCCAAGCACGCTCTTGAGTTGCCCAGACCACCGGGCAATCTCACGGACGAGCTCCTCGAAACCCCGCCACGGAGCCTCCTCCGACGCGCCCGCGCCGGAATGAAGGCGAGCTCCATCTTAGGCCAGCTTGTCCACCGCGTGGTTTGCAGCCCGCCCCCAGTAGGTGGAGCGCCCTGCCTCTGCGTCGGCGGGCGTGGCGGCGCGCCCGAACGTCTTGGGCACCTCTTGATTGGATGCCCCGAAGTACCCCCAGATGCGACCCCGCATGTGCGGCCTCTGGTCTTGGGAGCTGGTGCCGCTCCCAGGCCCAGCCTGGATGGTCGACGCGGCGCCCTCGCAGTCGATGTAGAAGTCGAGCACGCCGGACGCAGCAAGGTCACGAAACAGAAAGACTGCAAAGCCTTCGCCGCCCAGGGAGGTCTGCCGCGGGCCAGCCCAGAATGGGGCCCGTGGGTAGCAGTTTCCACGCGTCCAAAACAGTCAACTTGGGCGATCGCCCATCCAGCGCGGGCCAAATCGGGGATATCAATGTGGAAGGCGACCCTACCGAGGAACAGCGTACCTCGCAGCAGACCGTCGACAGGCTAGTTCGCCCAATCCACCAACTCGACGGGCCCCACGCGGGAGAGGAGGGAGGCAGGCGAGGGCAGCACGCCGCGCGCGAACTTCTCTGCTCCTTCCGAGCTCCAGTCTTTCACCCGGGTGGTTCGAAGGCGATGGCGACTCCGATGCGGTCGCGTCGCAGCTCCTTGTGCGCCGGGCAGTTGTAGCACCGGTGCCAAAGCGCACCCAGGGCACCGCATAGCCCGCAATGGTCGAGGAAGGTTCACGCGAGTGTATTTGGTGGACATTGTATTCGAATGTGCGCAAGGCCAAGGCGATATTCCAATATGGTGGGGGGGGTCGTTGAGGAATGTGCCCAGGAGGCTGCAGACCCTGTAGGATTTCTTATCTGACGAGGGTGGTGGTTATCTGCATGGCCGATCCACGATTCGAGTTCCATCGGCTTCCAATGCCCCCACCGTCTTGGAAAGGACTCGCCATCCATTCGCGCAGCGACGGACAATTTGGAAGCCGAGTATGAGTGGCGCCAGGGCGATAGCCCCCCCCAAAAAACGCTCCGCTCCCGATCTGTACCCTGGTGTGGGAAACCGATGGTGTGCTTCGCAAGCAAAGCGAAAACCCCATTGTGTTTCCCGTTTGTCCACGTGTTTACACGATCTGAATCCTTCTGTTCTTTGAAGCCTCGTGCGGCGACGGGGACGATGAAGATGATGATGTGGCTGCTGTTGCTGCTCGTGGCGGCGGCGAGCATCGGCGCGCTTGGGAAGGGACTGTAGCGTCTGGGGGCGCTTGGGAACGTCTTGGAACGTCTGGGAGTGCCTGGGGCAGCCTGGGGAGGGCTTGGGTCCAAAAGCGGAGTCGGCGAGGGGTGTTCGAACCGTATCGGCTTGTTATGTATATGATTTCGATATATTGTTCCTGTTTCGCTTTTTTGCCCAGGGGCTCTTCGTGGGCCAGGGTGTGGGTCGATGTCGAATATCAGCATCTGCGCACCGAGTTTTGTTTTACATAGGATTGTGAGGGTTGGGTCGGGTGGATGTGCACTGCTGTGTACGTTTTTGCTTAGGGTGGTGACGGTTGGGTCGGATGGATGCGCGCTGGATCCTAGGTTTACACGAAATCATGAACGATGGGCCGCATGGGTGTACACCGAATATGTTTTGCGTAGGGCGGTGCCGGTTGTGTGCCGAATATTTGTTGCATGAAACGATACGGCACGTGTCGAATGGATGCGCGCCGGTTAAAAAGGCTTGACACAAAGGAATGAGGGTTGCGTGGTATGGATGTGAGCAGATGTGCACTTGCTGCATCTGATGGCGAGGGTTGGATCGGATGGGCGCGCGCCGGAATGAATTCCTTTTGTGGGTGGTGGTGACAGTTGGGTCGTATGGATGCGCGCGACGCTAAGGCGAGAACCACATTTTGAAAAAGAGCCCGTCCCCATGTTTGAAATGGCTGCGACTTTTTGCAACGAGGGTGCGCATCGCTCGGGCGAGAGCCATATTTTGAAAACCGCCTGGGCTTCACCCGTGAAGCTGTTGCATGTTTGAAAGGCAAGTGCGCGCGGCGTCGAGGTGAGCACCACACTTTGAAAACCACTCTAGCTCCATCCTTTGAACGGCTGTTCGTTTTCCGTATAATTGCGCGCGGTGCTGACACGAGATCCGCAATTTGAAAACCAGCAGGTCTTCATTCTTGAAATTGTTGCATGTGTCAAGCTTCATGACCATCGGTGGCGGGGAAGTCTCACGCGAAACCCCTGGCCCAGCTCACGGACACGTCTTGTGGTGCGACAGGGAGGGTTTCTATATATATATATATATATATATATATAAGGAGAAAAAACGAGAACATATTTGTTTGCAGCAGCGGCCTTCGTTGAACATTGACGCCAATTCGTGTGTTTGAAGGGACTGGTGGGACTAATTACGAGCATCTCTCTCCTGTCTTTGGCTGGTCCCCCGAAGGCCGCGAAGCTACCACTGCTGAGAAGAGCACTGAGGGACAGCGAAGAGCCCTCCGGAAAGATGAGAGCCAATAGCCAGCAGTATTGTGTTGTGTTTTGGTGGCCCCAGTTGGTGCCTCTTGCGCCGTTGGATTTGCGTGGGTGAGGAGGCGGACGAGGAGGGAGGATGAGCATAGGGATGGATGAGGGTGGAGTGGGAGGAGGAACATGAGGAAGGGACGGAGGGAGGAAGGACGACGGCAAGGAAACGGAATTCGAGGTGGACGAGGAGGCATGCAAGAAGACTAGGAGAAAGAACAAGATGATAAGAAGATGATGATGCTGATCATGATGATGAAGAGGAGGACGAGGAGGACGAGGAGGAGGAGGAGGAGAAGGAGGAAGAGGGGGAGGAGGAGGAGGAGGAGGAGGAACCCCTTTCTGCGCCCTCATCCTCCCCGTGCGTCGTCCACTCCTTACTTCTTCCTTTCTCTTGGCCCGACGACGACGACGACTCCGACGACGACGGCGTGCCCCGAGGAGCGCGCCGAGTGCATCTCGCTCCTGTCGGGCCGCGTGACGGAGAGGCCGCAGTTCGTGGACGGCACCGCCGACGGCGCCAGCGCGCGGGGGGCGCGCGCGCGCGCACTGGGTGAGGGCGTCGCGCGCCAGGCAGAGAGGCCCCAAATGGCCCCAAAGCGCGCCCAAACACGGATCATCGCACCTCGATCCGCAGAGGGCCGGGAACGCGGCCCATCCTTTCTTGGGATGTCAAGGCTCGCTTTGCCTGTGGGCGTTCCGTCGCCTCTCTGTGGGGCCTTTCGGGGGGGCTCTTCGCGGCCACGCCTGGATCCCTCTCCTTCCCCATCCCCTCTGGCTCGCAAGGATCGGCGGCGAGCGAAGCCGGCCGCAGCAGCGAAGGCCAAGTGAACGGGTGCCCTGCCTGTCCTCCGTCCGTTTTAGTCCCCACTTCGCTTCTGGAGAGTCCCTCCCGTCGCTCGACCAGCGTCCGATCGTTCCTGCGCCCGCTGACCCAAAAACGTCCTCCGTCCAGTTCGTGACAGTGGCAGTGCACATAGACCCCTCGAGGGTCAGCGGATGGCGTCTTGTTTCCTGAGCTCGCAGGACTCTCCGAGGGGAGTCCAGGCCTCAGGCAGCCGCCAGTCGGCCTAAGCTCGACGTGCGCTGTCGATTATAAAAGTCCCTTTCCCCCTCTCGTTCTGCGTCTACTTTTTCTGTTTCTTCTTATTATTAGCATTGTATTACTTGTTTTCCTTATGATTAATATGGGCATTCGTATTCTCATAGTTTTTATCATTACGGACCTTACTATAATTAGGAGTAGTAGTATTAGTAGTAGTCTCATTATTACTTTTCGTGCTTAGTAGTATCAATGTTAGCGTTTTTCTCCCTCGGATTGTTCTTCTTCTCATTATCATTGTTTCTTCCCTCCCCCGCTTCTGCCCTCCCTCTTTTCTGCCCCTGCCTCGGTGTTCCCTCTTCGCCCTATCCCTCCTCTCGTCGCCCTCTCTCCTTACCCCCCAGCAAAGGGGGAAAGATGGGCTTGCGCCCCCCCCCCCCGCCCCCAATACAGGCCTCGGAAAAAATAGCGAACACTCATGCAACATTCATCTGTGAACGCCTCCCCCTCCCCTCAAATGTTCAAAGTTGGCGGTGGGTCTGACGAGTTGCAGCTCGACCGCAGTCTTCCCCGCGCGTGCCAACTTTGAGTTTGGGGGGCAGGGGGGGTGTTCACTAATTGTTTCCCTCTACCGTATGCGGCCACTTCTCGGGGAAGCCCGTTCGGAAGTCATCCGACCCCCTCACCGTTTGGGCGACCCGCCCCGCGGGGGGAAGTGCGCCAAGGTTTGTCTTCGGCACCCACCCGCCCCCAGCGAAGGACACCGCGGTGGAAGCTGGTGGTCCACTTGGGTGCATTTTTCCGATCCCTGCCCCCGCCAGGCGAACACTTCTGAGGCAACGCCTGCCGCGGCCAACGTAACAACTATACCCCACCCGTGCCCGTCCCCCTCCCGTCTTCATGGGTTGCGCCAGCTCGCCCGGGAATGTGGGCGTGGCCTCGTGGGCCAAGACGCGTCGGGAGCACCCCGATCGAGCTCCCCGAGGCCTCGCGCCAGGGTCCCGAGTGAAGCCGAGGAGGAGGCCAGGGTCCTCCCAATCATGTATGCCGAGCTTGCTGCGCGATCGGTCTTCTTTCGCGGTCGGGGGACTTTGGCTCACACCGCGTCGCGCCGCGGGCTCTGAACCTCGTCCCAGGCCCCAGGCGTCAGCTCCCCGAGCTCCCCCGAGCCTCCCGCCCCGCGGAGCGGAGCGACCTCGCTCGCAGGGCACAGCGGGTCGCCGGGGGCCGCCGCTTCGACGCGCTGAGCAGAAGCCCCTGGCCGTATCTTTCATCCTCTCCTCCCCCCCGCGGCCCCACCCTCGTGGACGCTGCTCCTCCGCGATGGCTCGCCCCTCCGCGCCCGAGGCGCCCTGCTGTGCCTGTCTTCGTGCACGCTGGGCGGGCACCGCGTGCCTCTGCTGCAGTCCGTGCTCGCGGCCACGCTGGGGGACACGGTGACGGGAGTATTCGCCCAGGCGCGCCGCGGGGGGGCAACGTTGGGGTCGGACAGGCGCGGGATGTTAGGGCTTGAGGTTCGAGGCTTTCTGACGTTTTCGTCGGTGCCCGCTGCCTTCAGCAGCTGCGAAGGCCGCTGGAGAGCAGAGGAATGGCCCGAAAACCAGCAGGGACAAGGTTCCCCTCCGTGGATTTGGCGCCCACGCGCCAGATCCACGGATCCCTGATCCATGGCAGCGTGTGCCTGAATTTTCCCCCCCACCCCGCAGCGACGGCCAAGGCGAGGACGAGGGAGACGACGAAGACGACGACCACGAGCCGCGTCCGCTGGTGCGGCGGGAGTCCGAAGCGTTCCGGGCAGCTGGACCTCGCTGAGCTATCTGGCAATGTCACCATGGGTATGTGTGTGTGTGTGTCTGTGTCCGTGTCTGTGTCCGTGTCTGTGTCCGTGTCTGTGTCTGTGTCTGTGTCTGTGTCTGTGTCTGTGTCTGCCTGTCTGCCTGTCTGCCTGTCTTCCTTTCTGCCTGTCTGCCTGTCTGCCTGTCTGTGCCCTCTCCCCCTCTCCTCGCGCCCTCGCCGCGCGATCTGGCTCAGCCGCGAGCGTTCTCCCCTTCGACTGCCTACGCCGCGGCGCCGCGCGCGTGGCCGCGACGCCGAAAAGTACGTGTGCGTGAGTGTGCATATGTGTGCGTGCGTGTGTGTGTGTGTGTGTGTGTGTGTGTGTGTGTGTGTGTGTGTGTGTGTGTGCGTGCGTGCGTGTGTGTGTGTGTGTTTGTGTGTGTGCGTGTGCGTGTGCGTGTGCGTGCGCGTGCGTGCGTGCGTGCGCGTGTGTGTGTGTGTGCGTGTGTGTGTTTGTGTGTGTGTGCATGTCTATGTGTGCATGTTTATATCTATATCTATATATATATATATTTATTTATATAGATATGTGTCTATGTGTGCATGTCTGTGTGTGTGCGTGTGTGTGTGTGTGTGTGTGGGGGTGTTTGTGTGTGTGTGTGTGCGTGTGTGTGTTTGTGTGTGTGTGCATGTCTATGTGTGCATGTTTATATCTATATCTATATCTATATATATATATATA